AGAGAGTTTGCGAGGCACCTAAACACCTTCTTTATGGAGTTTTCCCATATTCCTTAGATGTTTAGGTATTGTTTCATGAGAGACATACAATTTCAGGGTCACTTCACGAATGTGTTGCCTTGGTTTAGACTCAACAAGCGTCTTCACAGCATCAATATCAATTCCAACATGTCGGCCCCTGCCATCACAGTTTTAAGGCTAATGTCACCTGAACGACATTTACTGAACCATCGTTAGCACTTACGAACGTTCAAAACACTTCCATAAACTTCTTTGATATTCTTTGTGGCTACAGAGGCGTTATTTCCCTTCTTGTATTCAAACAGCATGACATGCCAAATGTGATATCTCATCGTGTACCATCACTATAAGGGATTAGAGTATACTAAACTTTACGCATTATACAGGCTACACTAACGTGACGTTTAGGTGGTTCGTTTAACTATTATACATGATGTACGTTTTCTCGGGAGTGGTTAGTGAATGTGTTCCAAAACGCGACATTAATTTATTGACGACCTAATAGTTATAGTACGTTAGACTTGATATAAGAGCATTACAATTATTAATAAAGCAAGGGAAAGACGTACATTTCCTATAAGAACGCATCAGAAATGCCTGAAACTTGCTGATACAAGTGCTTTTGTTCAGTGACCAAAATGTATATCCGCACAAATTATAGCTTTAAACATAATCCCTGTTCCTACAAAAGTCTCATAATTTACTATATGTACTTCCGCAGGGTCACCAAAAGTGTTCTGTTTCAATAGTAAATAAAATGAAGAGTAACAAACATTTTTATTTCTTGCTTTTGAAGTTGATATGTCATGCTGTGTTATAGCCTACAGAGTGCATAATTCTTCTCGTGATTCATGGCATGCTCACGTTACACTGACGTCACGGCAGTACAATTTGCAACTTTAAGGGTCCCTTATGTGATGTTATTTTAAAGTCTACTGACTGACTGACTGACAGACAGCACACTACTGTATGGAGGTGCGAGTAGTTAAAACAAGTGACCCCCTCCAAGCGGCCTTCGGCCCCCTTTCGGGGAAATTAGGAAGAATTCCAACGATCATCTAATACTCGGTGGAAGATTTAAATAGTTGAACGAACCCGATTTCAGTGAGCTTAAATTTTTGTGCTATAAAAAATTATTGGACTTTATTATTTCACGTAAAATCCCTTCAAGCGCACAAATTGTCTAAATAGTCTCCAAAGAAACCAGGCCGTGGCTAGATAACTAGACTGGCTAATTAATTATGGCGCCCTCAAAACGACTTTTCCTGCCAATGATAAAAATACATTTTAACACAATTTTTATCTTAAATGTCTGTAAACATTTGGTTTCAGTTTTAAACATTTAGGCTTTTTTAGGACTGTCGATCCAAGATTTGAAAACTACTGACCGAGCCAGGGCCCCCGGACCCTGGCGGTTCCGCCATCTATGATCTAATACAGGTCTAACTGACTTCTGAGCATTATAACGTTTGTAGAAGGAATAATGTAAAACACATTTTAAGTTTAAGTAAATGAATATTGATCATAAAAGGTTGTACATTTAATTTTTTGCTACAAAGGAACCACAAAAACCATAGTAACACATACAGATATAGATAAAAGTTATTGGTTAATCGACTGAATACCTTTATTAGAAGCCTTTTCAGTAACCCGTCTTAAGATGGCCAAGAGATCGTTTCATAGTGCTAGTGGATCACCATATATCACTGGGCTGGTCTTACGCTAACCAAGACACTGTTTTCAGTAAAGTACCCATGGATCATATATCATTGGGCTGGTCTCACGCTAACCAAGACACTGTGTTCAGTGCAATGCCCTTAGGTCACAGATCACTAGGCTAATTTTATCCTAACCAGAACACTTTTCACTGTATTTGTCGTGGATCATAGATCGCTAGGTTGGTTTTACGCTAACCACAATACTGTTTTTAGTGTAGGTTTTGTAGGTCATAGATCACTAGGCTGGTTTTACGCTAACCAGGACTCTGTTTTTAGTGTAGCTTTTGTAGGTCATAGATCACTAGGCTAGTTTTACGCTAACCAGGACGCTGTTTACAATGTAGTTTTCGTGGATAATAGATCACTATAGGCTTATGTTACGTTAAACAGTTGCTTTTGTGATATCTGAAAATGAATTGATTTATGCGCTACACAGTTGATTCTCAAACTGTGGGACGCATACTATGAGGGTACATGGAGCTAATGTCAGTTGTACGTGAAATAATGAATATTAAAATTATAAAATTCGTAATAAGCCCAACCTGAGCTTCCCGTGTACTTATTTATACACATTACTTTCCTAACTTATAAAGCCTGCAACCGCCTGCATAAACTCGATAGTGTGTTCTTCCCTTTAAGTTTACAAAATATCACACCAAATATTCTCCAATTGTGCCGAAAAATACAGTCAAATCCTTCCCATTAATGGATAAATGTTAGAAAATTAATTTTTACTACTAGGTTTTTTTTCGTGTGTTTGTATGTATGTATGTATATATGTATGTGTGTGCTTTAAGTAGGCCCGGGTTTGTACTTCTAAAGAAATATATACAGAAATTGGTACGCGAGTCTGAAAAGTTTGAGAATCTCTGCGTTTGGCTATAATGTCAAGTAACAACTATAACAAGTATGACTAGTAACAATCCACTGGAACTATGCCATTTTAACTTGTTTTGAACTTTGGAATTATCAATATAGTTTTCATTTTGTATGTGCGATGATCTTTTATAAACTTTACTCAGATTGAGAAGATGACTTTAGAAGTTTTACAAGTGAAACAAAAAATCGCCATTGTCCGCGGTCAGCGTAGTGTGATCGCCAGAGACCTTCCCCTCTACGAAAAAGCACTACAAATTACAAATTTTTTAGTTGCGCCACCTATATGGTACGAAGGAATAAAAGAAAATGTCAACAAAACCGTATGTTGTTCAGGAAGAAGTGCTTCTAATTACTATCAAGGTAATTATGCTAAACATAAGAAACAATAGGTATAAAAATTTTAAATATGTCAAAGTCTACAAAATGCCTACGTGCACGTAATAAACAATTTTTTCCCCATTTGTTGAAAAGTATAAAACGTAAATATGTTTTAACCCAATGAGAAAAACTTTATACTGTCATCGAAACTACTTAAATTAGAGGTATTCGGTATTTCTTTTCCTCAAATCTCAATATTAAAAAAATATAGTAAATGTTAAACATAATACCCGTTAACATAAAACTACTTGTATATTGAATAATTTCGAATAAGATTTTGAGAAGCATTCTTGTTATTCCCCAAAAAAATGTATACTATTTAAAGTGATGCTTGGATGGAGGTTGTTTTTTCTTCACGTTATTCATTTACGAATTTCAAGTTGGAGTTTGTTTTGTTTTTTGAAGTTAAGCACAAAGCTACACAATGGGCTATCTGTGCTCTGCCCACCACGGGTATCGAAATCCGGATTCTAGCGTTGTAAGTCCGCAGACATACCGCTGAGCTACTGGGGGGCTCAAGTTAGAGATGTGTAGATCCACCATTTCAGTTATTTTGTCACAAATCTTTGCTCAGGAGACCTTTCGTCCAACACTAGAACTCGCCAACAGGGCTGGGCCTGTAGCAGTCGAAAGTATAGCTGAAATCTAATTTGTATGCAGCACAATAAACTTAATACATGTAAAACGAAGCTGACGGAGCAACAGTAACTAATTAAGAGAAAATTGAAAAGTAAGAAACTGCAGCCAAGCATGATTTTAACTACTTTTATTATGCCTAAAACGTTCATTGTTGCCGAGATTAGGTGTTTTAGATCACTGCATTAAATACATATTGTTATTACATTACTAGAAGAATCCAAAAATCCCCGTACTTTGGGCTGGCAGCTGCTACTTTGTATGACGTTCAGCGTGAAAGACCTAACACATTGTTTAGATAGAAGAGATATTGAACAACTATCACAAACCCAAAAGGTGAGACTAATTTTAATATAATATTCTCCAGGTAATTCTATAGGTGATGTGTGAAAATTGCATTGCATTATTATATAATATTCAAAAGTATTCCTTCAGTTGCAAGAACACTTTCAATAAGTAGAAATAAACTTCCACTCTCTATTGGAAAGTTCTTTATAAAACAAAAGTGAGTTTCATCAAATACTTGTCCAACCTTGTTCTCACACGCATCTTGAAATTTGATTTATATTTTTACGCAATTTATGAATAGATATAGTAATAGTTTTAGAGGAAATATTTGTGTTTAAAGAGTATTCCAAAGACGTGAGCTCAGTTTATGCATAGCATGAAACAATAAACGTGTTTCAAATTACTTCTTTTGACTCACTAGTCAAATATTTGAAGCATTCGATTTAGAAGAATGGTATAATGTTTATAATTGGCTCTCCAGTACAAATACTAAAACGTTATAATGGATAATTCGTAACAAAAATTATTTCGGAGTGTCTGTTGGATTCGAATAATTAACATGAAGGACCGTAAACTTAACAAAAAAAAACCTATGTATGTTCCTTTACATCTTTAAATATGATATTATTTCTTAAAAAATAGTTTTTTTTTCTTAGTTGTGACTATTTGTGGAAATTTATAAAATTAATGCGTTTCTAAAGTCTAACCTTCACCTCAGATATTTTAACATATATATATTAGTGGAACGTGTAAAAAGTTGACAAAATATAAACCACATAGAACCACAGAGAATCGAATATCTGACCATCAAAATATACTCTTTCTAAAAGTTCTTTTAAAACTAAAAACCATTTCCAGCAATGTTGATATTGTGACTACCCACCACACCTTCAAAAGTTTTAGTTAGTAATCACTGTATATGCATTTATTAACAAAAGAACGGCTCCATAATATCCATCCTTCAAAAGTTTAAATTAAACATCCATGTTTTAGCGCTTGTTAACATAATTCTCAAACTCAACAATACATTGAATTTGTAAACAAAATTTTAGAAAATTACGAAGCAAATCTATTTGAAACTCAAATGAAAACAAAATATGTTCAGACATGTATTTTTTTAGTACATGTTACAGCTTTTACAGTAAGGAAGAATATTTTTTAAACAGATATGACGTTTCGATCGCTAGTGCATATCTTTTAACGGTAGATCGTGTTTACTATTAAAACTTGTGTAGTTGAGAATAATTGCACCAGCGATCGAAACGTCGTAACTGTTTAACAAATATTCTTCCTTTCTGTAAAAGCTGTAACTTGTACTAAACAAATACTGATAACCACTAAGTAAACTCAACCGATATTATTTTAAGCATGCTTATTATACGTATATTTTCTTAAATAAAAATACCATTTTTATTAGCATAAAACGACAAATAATACTCTGCAATTTGGCTTTTAAAAATTAATTTATTCTACAGCATAACTTGAAAATTATGCTTTAAAAATTTTGCAGTAGAAGATTTTTTAATTTTAACAACACATACATAGAAATTAATATACATTCGTAAGAGTTGTTTTTAATATGTCTTACACTTATAGTGGTTTTTTTTGCGTTTTCTTTTTCACTTCTTTTTATTAATATTCAGACCCAATTGACAGACAGACATCCGTTTTCTCAAATTATATTACTGTAAAGGGAAAAAACAGTGAAAATCACAAACACACAAAAAAACAATACTAAAGTTTCAATTCATGGAAAAATATTAGTGATTTTTTGGGGAAAGTTTTCTGATTCTAACTTAATTAAGGGAGTAATCGTGTATTTTCGGCACTTAAAGAATGGAGTGAGAAACATCGTACTTCGCCATCGTGTGAAAGAGTAATAAAACATACTATTTTATTAAAGCAAGGTGAACGTATGAAACAGGTTTTCGTAATCTCTTTTTTGTTTGTAATTCTAAAACAATATTACGATCGTTTGTGATTACAAAAGAAGAGGGCGTATTTTAAGCGACAATTTAAACGATTTGAATAGTCTCGACTAAGTGTTGTGGCTTTAAAATAATATAGTTGAGGTAGCATCTAATCGTAACAAGAACAGCGACTTGGAAAATAAAAATAAACAAGAAAAACTGAAAATACAACGCATTCAAGAAGAAACTTACACTGCTAAAAGCTACTTGTAAGAGATAAGGAAAGATTGTGCATCATTAGATAGTTTATTTTCAAACGTAACTTGTCGTACTTATTAGAATTACATTAATATGAATCATGAGACATTATTAAAGCTTTCATGCTGTGATAAGTTCCTTTGTTTAACGAGTTTGTTTGCTTGTGCAATTTCAGGGTGTGTCTTACGTTATTAAATTCACCGTATTTCTGTTTAAGGTGTTTTGTCATCATATTAAAGCTTGTTATAATCATGCACTGATATCAAATTACGCGGTTATGGCGTATAAAGTAGTTACTGGTGCACAGTTGTTTACGTTTCTACACAACAGATTAATCGTATACCCGGGATAAGAGGACGACTGTGGAAGAAAGAAGCGTTTTGCTCCACTATAATGAAAGGAAAACAGCTGTCAGGTGAGCCAATATTACAGATCATCACGCTGTGTTAGCGGTTAATTGGGAAACTTATATATGTTGAAATGTTTCCAGTGTTCGGTTGAATGTCTCATAATGAATAGAGTTTTCTCCATTACTGACGTTTGAACAATGTTAATGCAAATTAAGTAGTAACTAATTACCGAATCGGTTCTTAACGCTTCAAAAAATAATGTGACAACTTACTTACTTAAATTCAAAATGCTGATAAAGACTTCTGAACCGCACACAAACACAGAACACAAATAACAACTACATCAACATATACATCACAATATATTTATATTGATTGGGTATTTTATTATGACCCAGGAACATATATTTTAAGAGTACGTATTTTCATATGTAAAACGGACTGATTGTTTATGTATCAGAAGACTGAGCCCTATAAATGCAGAAATTAATAAGACCAAAGAACTTGCCGACTTTCAAAGGGGTGTGATAGTGAGTGCTCATCTAGAAGTTTTGTTATCAATAATCGTTTCCTTGACCAACTATCAACACTGGTAATCGAAAGGTAATACGTCTGTCACTAAGAAAAATTGTGACCGATAACTAAGCATCTGTGAGGAAACCTTACCACACTTACCGCCATAATTTTCTGTCGATACCTAATAGTAAACCAACTCCTCAAAAAAAAACACGTAAACGAATAAGACACCTTATAAAAGCTTCTGCAGGCTATACAACACTAATTTCAGGCTACTCTCGGGCGAAATATGGTTCTATCCGATATTACGCTTACACTACATACATGAATTAGGCTTTGCCGTAAAGCAACATATATATATATATATAGTGCATTAGTATATCTAACACACATACACACACACACATATATATATAATGCTATATAACTAGCGAACTTGGTAATACAAACTATAATCGCACTGGTTTTATAACTTCAAAAGAAATAAAATAGGGTTGGTTAAAGGAGTGAAGAACAAAGTTTGTCAATACGTATGCATTGGTGTGATAGAAATAATGTATACATATAGACGTCGGAGTTTCACAGTCGACGAGGAGCAACAGCTGATAAATTTATAAGTTTTGAAACACAATTTATCCAAAACGCAATAAATGTATCAAACTAAACTTAAATAGTTGTCCAACGCAGCAAAGATTATTTAACACCTACCACACGCGTAGCCCGGAATATTTTGATTTGGGTCCGAAAGAGTGAGTCATTCCGGACAGGTTTGGGTTATTTTACTTAGACAAAAAGAAGACATTTGGCATTGTTTTTGAGGTCTATGTCGCTGGACCAGACTCGTGACCTGACCCGAAACCATGAAAGTCAACATGGAGAAGATAGCTTGTAAATGAAAAGTAAAATTATGTAGCAATGAAACACGCTTGAAGTGTTGTAGATGTGGTTGGAAATGTGATGGAAAAGTGTAGAGATTTAGCTAAACTGTGGTCCAGATCCGATGAGGGAAAACCTTATTCGAAGATATCCCAATCGATTTAACATACCAGCTGAATCGGAGATTCGTCAACTGGTTATTGAATTAACAGTGAAATGTTAAAAAATGGCATAGTAGTATCGTTATCTTCAAAAAGCGATTGGAATTATAGATAAGAAATCATTAGTTGCAATATTTTGTAAACCTAACAGCACAGTAAAGCTTTAAAATACAGTGTTGAAGCTGAAGTAGATGCACGACGCATTACAAGATTATTTCTAGCGATTCTCAAATTAAAAATGCCATCTCCGCAATGAAGAGTAACTATAAGGATGGTATAATGCCCAGGGTGGTACCACCTTAGTATAATCCATATAGATTTTATCATGCCATATATGCATTAATATTTAGTTGTTGTTTTGGTTTGTTTGCTTTCGTTTTAGAAGTTGTATCGAGCTTTATTGAACGAGATCTGTCGAAATAAAATAAATCACCGGTTTACGGAATGACACACCTCTGTTGACCATCTTAGGCTCAGAACTAATAGATGCTGGGCTGGCTCGTGTTAAAACTGGTTGTTGTTTTGTTAACTAAACACTTAAGTTGTGGTAGCGGTTTGTTATAAATAAAAAGTTTTACAACCAATAAACAATAAAGATAATGCCGTGGTTCACAACCAATGAACGTTTTATGTGAAAAGAATGAACCGTTTTACAATCTAGTAACCTCTTTAGAAGAAAAGAACAGCTAAGTACTATACCTGGTTGTAGATTTTTTTCTTTTCCTTTACAAGAATCAATACTTGCGAAACTTAATACGATACTATTTATTTGGCTTTAGTACGAACCATCACTTGCATGACTGTTCTATCTTAATTTCTTAGTAAAAATGCAGTAGTCATCATCTTTCTTTGACTTTTATACGGTTTTTAAACATGATGGATTTACCCAGTGGCCCCCAAATCAACTATATGTATTTCGATATTGTGTAAGTAGAGTAGCTTACCTCACCTTTCTTCAGATCTTCTAACAAACCCATTGTGTTCAAGTTCCTATATGCTACAAAACGTAAATTGTGCTAGCAACAATCAACCCATCGTGACCATGACATACAGTTGAGGTAACTTTGAATTGAGTATATGGTGACACGGTTTATTGGTAGTTGACACTGAGATTGAGTCCCACAAGTAATTGAATATGAAGCCCATTATTTAGCATTTAACCTGAAGTAAAATATTAATTGATATATACATAGAAACAGGTGTTTGATAAAGCTGAATGTAATTGAAATATCACTCCTTGCTCACAACATCTACATCTGCGACTGGAAAATTAATTTTTAACTACATTTACTGGGCGTTGAAATTCACAAAATGAACTAATGGTGGATGATTTGAATTTCAAGAGGATTTGTTTAAACTATTTAATCCATTATGGAGAGAACTTCATTAACAGAATGCAAATTCACACTTTTAGATCGATATTTTAATTTCTATCAGGTGTAAGTTCGGAGATTAGCTTTGGAACATTACATTCGCTATATTATCTAGATTACAGCAATGACTTAAATCCGGGTGTATTGAAATCCAATTAACACTTTGGTGCATACTCACTGCCTCTATTTGCAAGTTAAATTACTTTTAGTTGGAAAACAGAAAGACATTAACGAAAACTATTGTTCACTAACATCAACTTGAAGCGGAAGTGAATTTCGTGAAAACCTAAAACCAAATAAGTCTCAGAAACAAAAAGGAAGAAAATTTTAATACTAACTTGTTTAGCCTAACTTTCGGAAATCGAATGTTATTATCCATTCGTAGATTTTAATTATTATTTTTTTAAGTATTAACTCAAAATGTTATCATCTATCCTGGTAACTATCCTATAGCCTGTAGTCAATGTAGTGGATAACAACTGCGCATTGTATGATGTGAAGCAGATCTAAGTTGGTACATTTTGATTATCACGTATTGTTTAACTCGCGTGTTAAATATGACAGTCAAAGGATATTTTCTTACTTTTAAATTTTTTTTGCTGTAATGTTCAAGTGCAATGCAAGTAAATCACAACATTCGGACGTTACGTGTAGCGCAACGATCGTAGCCCCCGGATACTCTATTTCACGCATTTTTTGCTAGTATTTGTTTTATAAACTACAGACTTTTCCATGGTATGATTCTTTAAAGATGTAGTCTCTGGTAAAATTGGTATAACCATTTAATATTTCTAATCTCTGGAAATTCTAAATTGCTCCTTCTAGCCACCCTGCGGAAGCAACCGGTACCACTCTGTTTTTCTCTGCCGGAACAGCGTCACCAGTTTCAAGAAGTAGCGCACGCATTCGGGACTTCCGCCCAGTGGATATTAAAATCTGTATCTTCAGTTGAAAAAAGCGGCCCAAAGCTTTTGGACATTTTCACGTTAGAAGGCCAGCAAGAACTTTTAAAGTAGGCAGTGAAGTTTCATAACATTTATCATTAAAAGATACGTATAACCAATAGCTTACCCCTATTGGTAAAGATTCTGGTTTTAATTTATTGGACTAATAATTGCCGTAGTTATTTAAATAAAATATAACACGTCATATAATTGTCTTCTTGCTATAAAAGTTGCAAATTTTACATTCTTCACTAATTTATAGAAGTTATATTTTGATAAGACTAACCTTCCTTCTTTCTAATACCCGTAATTAGGAGTAGAGTTTTAGCTTTAATGGACTAGTTTATGTCTGTTGCTAGAGTAGTCCCACTCTGGGCCCGGCTTGGCCAGATGGTTAGGGCGCTCGACTCGCACTCTGAGGGTTCGAATCCCTGTCACACCAAACATGCTCGCCTTTTCAGCCGTGGGGGCGTTATAATGTGATGGTCAACACCACTATTTGTTGGTAAAAGAGTAGCCCAAGAGTTGGCGGTGGGTGGTGATGACTAGCTGCCTTCCCTCTAGTCTTAAACTGCTAAATTAGGGACGGCTAGCGCAGATAGCCCTCGTGTAGCTTTGCGCGAAATTCAAAACAAAACAAATAGCCCCACTCTAGAAAGAGACAGAAGTAGTCCAGTAAAGCCAAAACTCTGCTATGTCGACACTGAAATGTTATTAAGAGTTTTCAAATGATTATTTCCCACATTTCTACAATTGTAGCTGCGCAAAGAAATGTCATCATTATTCTCATCTCTTTTTTTACAAATTGAAATTCTATGTATTACATCTAAAAAGAAAAATTTTAGCTGGAAAACTCATTAGCCTTTCCTCGAAACGTTGCTTTTTTTTCTTATTTAGTCTACAAGTTGTAGGGTATCATTTCCACTTATTTAACTAGTAACTGCAAAACCTTATGTGGTGCGTACTCTATTTTAAGTATCTATTCAATTACTGAATTTGTTGATTAAATATTTACAATCCAGATAGAATTAAGCCATACACGCATGTTAGATAATTGTTATTTGGCACCTTACTAAAGCACTAAAGCTCAAGGAGTTAGTAAATATCAATATGTTATAATTAAGTATCAAAACAATGCACGTGTATTAAACTGGTTAAAGTACAAAAAAAAACATATTTCAAAGAACTTTCTTTCCCTTCCATCTAGATGTAAGGACTCTTGAAAGATAACTTACACATACAATGCATAAAAAGGGGACACACAATAACAAACGAATTGTTCCCTGCCTTGAAATTCGTTATAAAATTACATATTTTACAACGTTTTGGCATCTTAAAGACTCTTCATCATTAATAATCTACCTAGCCTAAAATACAACTTCTGGTTCTATTTTTTTTTCAGTTTCCTTTTTTACTTTCTTACCTTAATCATAACCTGAACTAAATCCGCTTTACTGGTCGAAATACTTAGACCCAAACAAAAAATAAAAAAGAAAGAGAGTTAAATATCCCTATTTTTCCCGACTTTGTAACTGTAACCATAACAGCATAATCCATCTAACATTTGTGAAGTATATTTTTAGTGATTTCAAATATATTAAATAACCTCAGAAAAATCTCTAACATTATGATCGGGTAATACTCTTTTCCAACAACAATTGGTATCAAGTTTTCCGAAGGGTACAAGTGTTCTACGTCAGCATACTCCATACAACTTCGTCAAGATGACGAACTTGGAGTTCGATACACTTTAAACGGCAATCCAAAGACTGTACTTTTTTCCATCAAGTATTATAATACTTAATTGGTGTGTCGCTATATTTAAACTTGTTGAAATTCCTTGTAATTCATGCTGAGTGACCATTGTTATATGTTAGTGGTGTCAATATACTTTTGGCAAAACACTGTTTATAATATAAGCTAAGTTCTTGTTTAACTTATAACTGTTTAGGTATTTTGAACATTTAATTAACCTACATTTTTTCATTATTTCAATACATTGTTTATGTTTCACTTTATGTGAAAATAATTAAGTCTAATACATCTATATGTAGACAAAAAAGGAGAATTTGTTTTAAATTTTACTTACAGCACTGAACGTCGGAGGGCTATAGTCCAGCAGGTTGTTCCTAATCAGCTTAAAGTATTTGGACAGCCAATCAGCTTACGCCTTTACGTATTGGTGACGTCACTATCACCGCTTCGAGCTTATTTACATTCAGAAGGTCTTGTGTATCATCGTTATGGCTCTTCTCGAAGCTTTCGAAAAGTAAGGGGTAGATAAAATAATAAGTCAAATGTGGAAACACATAAGCGATACACATAGAAGTGTCATAAACAACGAGTAATAGCATCTACATGGTAATGTATTAATGCTACAAAACTTTATTTCAGAAAATACGAAAGAAAAGCGAATGAATTGTACAATGCACTAATATTTTGTATGCGCGTCTTTTGCTTAAATAGTGCATTGTACTTTCTTTTCTTGCAACAATACAATTAATCAACGTGTAATTGTGAACTATTGTTCCAAAAATCATTGTTTACTCACCACAATTCAGCCAAGTTATTTCTAGGTTTTTACAGCCCATACAGCCTTGAGAATGTATATACCGAAACTTTGTGAAAACCAAGCCATAATTATGAATGTTCCAGCAGCTTCTTTACCGTCAAGACATAACTTCACCACAATTGCTGTGTGCTAGGGGTCATTGCCTTACTGTAAGATGAATCCCTCACCTGACAAGCCGTGTTCTTTCGGGAATGGCATGATGGATCAAAGTCTACCATTACGTTTCAACGGTCAAATTTGTAATGTTCTCCCACCATGCTTCACTGTATATATATATTAATTATACATTGACTATGACGATTCCCCACCATGTTTCACTGTATATACACTATACATTGACTTTGATGGTCCTCCCACCATTCTTCACTGTATATAACTTATGAATATGATGATCTCCACCCTACTTCACTGTATATATACTATACATTGACACTGATAACGTTTTCACTCAATAGACTGTCATTGACCGTTGACGAATAATTCAGACTTCGATTCATCTCTTAAGACCACACGTCTCCAACTTTGTTTATGCTCTGATGCCTATTTTAATCTTGTAGTGTGGTTGTGTCTTCTCAGTAGAGGTTTCCGAGTAGCTACACGTCCATTGATACCGCTTAGTGCTAATGTATATCTTACTGTTCTCGAGAAAACATCCATACCTTTGATTACAGCAAGGTTATTGGAAAAATATCTACTAGATTGACGTCTGTCTCATACCCTGAAATACTTAAAATCACTTTTGGAAATTTTTATTTTTATACCTCGACCACTTCTATTATTAATAGTACCACTTTCACGTACCCTTTTATTGAAACACGTGTCGCACATTGATCATTCAAAACTAATTTCTTCACGCCTGTCATGCTGCATTTCAGTCCAGGAAGTCATGACTGATTTCATATGACTGCTCTTGGCTTTGTGTACATTCATAAGCTTCATACTGGTGCAGCAATTTCTGATTGGTTTATATGACAACCAATACCAGAGTGAACTTTCGGCACGAGATAGTACTCTGGTACATTTCTTACTCACACGATAAAGGAACGGCATTCCCCTAGTATTTACTTTAATATTTTATTCCCCGACGTTTCCATGATTATTTTCAATAAGTTTCTATAATTAGTCCTTAAACTTCGGAAAAAAGAACTTGAAACAATAGGAAATGAGAAAAACCGACTGACTTGAATTCTTAAATATACCACCAAACAATGATACTAAAAATATTTTTATGAAGAAATTCAAACTCTAAACTCAGAAATATGGTTTCAAAAACTTAGGCTGAAACTTAACTTTCGTAAAAGTTAAGAAGGAGATGATTTACATGATTATAACTAATTTGACATCTCGAATGTTTCATGTTTTAAACCCTTAGTTCACTGAACCAGATCTTCTGCCTGGCTGATAGGTATGAGTCATTATCTTAAACCAGTTTTTAGAAATAAATCTATGTGTGTTCACTTATAACTTGGCGAATCTCTGGACTGGTATCATGAAATCCAGCATGTACCTTTAGGGTTCCTCGGGAAGTGGCGTATGAGAGTAAGCGTTCGGATCTGACCCTTCTATGTCTTCTCGTGCATTGATGTATGCTAGCTAGTTCATCCAAATTGGATAGCTAGAAAACAGTGTACTACGAGTAGTTTTTAATAGTTATCGTAGTGTCTAATATATAATGTTGTTCAACTGTCTGTGTGATGTCACAAGTTTTTGTGAAGACCGATTGCACTAATTTCGATTATATTTGGTAGTGGAACTCGGGTGGACCTCCGCAAGTGATAGAATTAAAATGGATGAGCCTTTAGAAAATCAATTTGAGTATAACGACGATGTCAGTTTTGATGCCTTACTTCCGTAGTTGAGAGCTCAGCTGAGCAATGAGGTCGTTATAAGATACTTGAAGTCAACACTCAAAGAATGTGACATTTAATGCCACTTTGTATCGGAATAACGATTCTTATATTATAGCTGAAAACACAAGCGGCGACAAAGATTTGAATTGGTGGTGGGGGGGGGGGGGCATCGACGATTGAGGCACCTTATCTGCTATGTTGCAACAGCGACTTTCCCTGATTATTATACACAACTCTCTATTCCCCATTGAAAGGGGCACTTCACTATCTGCTAAAATGTTGGGGGCACGTGCACCCTGGTTCCGCCGCCTATGGTTGAAAATAGTGGAAGTGTGTCAGGCCACGCTCATTTATAGTATTACTTTTTACGTCCATCATTGCTGGATACATTTACTAGTTTCAGATAAATCAAAGTTATTCAGGGATATCACGATAAGATTCGTTTTTATCTTACAATAATAAGTAGCAATTAAGTATAATATTTCAGATAAATTTTGTATATGTATATCAACCAATCGTTGTTATAAATAAAGTATAGATGTCCCACTCCAAAACGTAGGGTTCTGAATATTTAGAAACCAGCTTATTTCTTGTTTCAAATTTAGTGGGATGTGTTATTGTATAACATTTATTATTCACTTCGTGATTAGTTATATTAAAGTTTAGAGTCGTTAGACAGAAGTACGAAAATTAAGTGCACAACAACTGCAAATATTCAATGTTTCTTTTTATTTCTAGAAAGCTTCTAGAAATTGTGTTTGTAAATCTTCAGAGCAAGTTTTAGTTGTTTTTTTCTGATTTATAGTATTTTTCTCACAGATCTCAGGGAGATTATGGAGTCTATCTCAGTTTTGGTATTTCGTCGCACGGAACCACGGTATGCAAACCGTTAAATTAACTCTAAACAATCTTCACGATGCCATAACAAAGACTTTGTTATTGACTGACGTCCTAATTGCGTCATCGTCAACAACTAGTGGTCAAACGGATGGACTGAACTCAATAAGGTCTGTTTGACGTTGCTTTTAGCATGCGAAAATCAACAGTTAATCGTAATACATAGTAACTACATTAATGAATATAATAATTATATGGAAAAATGCTAATTAGTTTAGTTGTGAGAATAAAAGCTAAGTATGCTGGCGAAAATAAACCATTTCAGAATTAAATTTCGTTTAATGTAAAGAATGATTTTAAGTCACGAGAAAATATCGGTGTTTCGTAAGGGCCTAAAATGGCCCATACCATATTTAGACAAACAATTACACAATTATAGTAACAGATATAACAAATCTCTTAAGACGTATTATATTCTATGTGATAATCCAAAATGTAATGGATCGATATCATACTCATTGTATTTTTTCTGTGTCTTATATATACATACATTGATAAATCCGATATTATATATCTTGAATATTCTAAGCTAGTCGAACGTCGCGAGACATATTGGGATTATGACCGAAAATACCGTTCACAGCGAAGGTACTCAACTGATGAAACAATACATTCTAATCTTTATAAACAGAAACGTAAGAAAAGTATATCTGATTAGCTATACTGATGGCCAGGCTGATTTTTAGCTACGCTCTAAGTACATAGCCTACTCTGATCGGAAGTTTTATGTAACTAGACTAACCCTCTAGTGAATCTACAGTATTTTCGTTTGGTCATCAATATTATATGCACTACTCTTGCCAACAGAATCCCAGTCATGATCAGTAACATTAAGCACAACTTCCTTCTGTTGCACTCGAAGAGGTACAGATGACAATAGAAGCATAAGTACTATAAAACAACTACGACACGAACACAGCATCACACTGTCACAAAGCGATCCATGGAAGTACAGGGAGTAGACCTTCCATTTCTCCATGGAGTATGGAGTCGACACTCGCTACAAACTAACGACTCCAAACGCACAAAATTCCTAGTAAGCATCAATTCCAACTTCCAAGTAACGCCATTTTTGTTTATTCCCGATATATATAAAAGCACAGTTTTGGAGCATATTACCATCAACGTGGCATGCACAACAAAATGTATTGCCATTTGTTATGACAGATAACGTGTTAAAATTAACCACGAGCGTTTAAAATTCTCAAATCAAAATTGTGATCCCTATTCTTCCCGAAACTCACATCTTCTAATGTTAGTTTTTAAATTACTGACTATGCTTCGCGAAGTTGCTAAAATTAAAAAAAATCACGTAATAAATCAGATAGCTCAAAAATATCTTAAACAGTTTACGTTTATCAAAAGTTCTGTGTTCACCGAACCACGTATAGCAAATGTTTTTACTTTATTTTGAAATAAAACATGATATTGTAATCGTTTAATAAGAATAAGCCCACGAAATAAATATACGATATTGATATATTAATTTCAAGTTTATTTTAGAATAATATATTACTAGAAATGGTATATGCGAGTCATCTTTAAGCACTTAATGGTGATTTGAATTTACAGAGCAGATCTCATTTTCTTCATTTTGCTGACTAAATAAGTGAAAAAAACATAATGGTCCTTCATAATTAATGTGTTAACTTAGGTGTCGCCAGTGTTTCCAGCTTATGGGATTTGACGTCATTATGAATGGGTCATTTTACCCATTTATTACGGAAATCAATGGCCAGCCAAATTTACAAGAATCCCGAAATCAGGAAGGATGGGTAGCCAGTCGGGTAAAAAATGCTGTTGTCACAGATACCATAAAGATATTGTTTACCCCTCATTCTGTAGCTAAAGATGTTTCTGAGGCTTTGGAAGAAGTTGGAGAGGAAATCGGAGTGATGGTAGGTCTCTCAGTATATAATTTTTGTTTTGCCGAAGAAATTAACCTGGAAGAAAAGTTAAGATATATAAATATAATAAAAAAACAAACTATTGGCTCTGAAAACGTCGTTGTGACATCAGTGATGTTAAATGTGTCATCAAATTGAGTTGGATAAGCAGCTTAGCACATATATATGAAGACGCAGGTTCTTTTCGCATTTTTATTGTGCTGAAATTTACTTGTAGTAGAAATATGATAATTGTATTAACTTCTTCAAGTATTGTTTCTCTCAGAAACATGAAAATTTAAAACGATGAACCTTGAAGTGTATATGTAATACCTCATTTCCTGTTTTTTGGAAACTGATTAGAGTTGAGCACCTGAAATTTTTAATTACAAATCCGTTATTCCTTGTTAAAAATAAACCTGTTTTCAGAAACCTAAAGAAAAGGTTGGATTTCGCTTTGCTGTTTGCGACTTACATGTCTAAGTGAACTTTATGCTTTGGCTAACACCACAACAAACACACACTACAGTTTGAATTCAAAGTATTTCTACAAACACTCTGTGACGTCAATTCAAACACTTCTCTGACTGGTTAACGTAAGGCAACAGGGCAATCGAATTGCATGTACATTGTATAAGAAAAGTTAAGAATTTATTAACATCAAGGATTTTTCGTATAAAAGTCTGTTTCCTATTGAAATGATTGACAAAACACTTTGTGAATACTTAAATTAGAAAAACCTGTGTAATATTATTCCAATTGAAGTGTCTAAATATTATGTTGTTTTTGTTTTGCCTTTTATGGTTAAATACTCCTTAGTTATTAAGAATCAACTAAGACAAGCTATTCGTAGGTTACACACACAAGTACAATTAAAGTGTTTTCAAACCTAATTGTCACCTATAACTTTTTTTTCAAATCTAAGGACCATGTTTTCCTATCTTACAATTGTCGTTAATATTTTACAATATCATTTTTCAAGCTGTCAGTAAGATTATATTGGCTCTACCAAAAGAAAACTAATAACATGTATGAAAGAACACACTGATTTCAGATCACCCACCAAATATAGTATAGTTGAACATAGTCGTCACCTCCAATATGTTTAGCTAGGGCTAAAGATGAAAGAAGCCTCCCTATTAAAGTCGTCTGATTCACAAACTAATGCCCGAGATCGATTTCGTTAATTCGTCAGGAAGAAACCTTCCATTATGCCTTAACAAACATTAGAAACCTTTGCAATTCTGTTTCAAGCTGTATTCACAAGTATCTAGCATTCGAACCCGTGATTCTTTTTTAAGATGACATTGTTCTTGCTAGCTAAACTAGTGCATTATGGATATCTCGTTTCGTTGATTATATGTATCAAGAGCGAAATACGGCAGAATTCTCAAGCTCATACTTCGCTTACAGTTACTTTTTTTGAGAGTGCCTATCTAGTTGTTTTCTTCTTTTGATTTACGTACTTGGGCACCAACTAAATTCCCACACTTTAAATCTATAATGTTAATGAACAAATAAATTATAAAATATTTTTCAAGACAGACACACACGTATACTAATATATGCAATCTATGAAGTTGCTAGCTTTGAAGGAGTAAATGAAATCAACTATATTTCTCCTCAGCCTAAATCAAGTATATTTCTCCTCACACTTCAAATTACAGTGTTTACAATGTGGTATTTATATATAGGCACAAAATATTTTATAATATTGTATTATATAAGCATTATTAAACGGATATTTACAAATATGAAATTGTGTGCCCTCATAAAAATTGTTTAACACACATTTAATACATTTAAAGTTACGATATAGCTTAAGAAAATGCACAGTGGATGTTTTATTTTAAATGGCTAGTATCTGTGAAATTGGGATTTGAAGCTTGGGGATTATATAAATGCAAAGACCATTACAATAAACCTGTTTTTTAACAAACGAATAGGTTTCTGAGAAAGTCTGATTAAGAATAAAATTATTGTTTGCTTGACACAGCATCAGTGTAAAAAGACATGTCCTATTAACCTATGTTAATGTGTCTAGATTTGTTTGGGCGTACTGTTCTTAAAATAATTTTAAAATCCTGAAAATACAAGTCTGTTTAAAACGCCAACTTCAAAATAAATTATTTATAACCCTAATGACTATCATTTCATACAAGATTTGCTCCCAAATTTAATACTCCTCTTAAACAGAATCTATACTAAAAGTTGGGTTATTTAGTAGTGTTTGATAGATTTAGTATTTCATTTCACACAGGATATATATTAAATGGGTTAATATTTTATTTCACACAGGATTTATACTACATTTATCTAATGTTTAATATAACGCAGGATCTATAATAAATGGATCTAAGATTTTATTTCACACAAAAAATACGACATCACACGCATCTTGGACAAAATAATGTTTTACCAGTCTTGCACTCAGCAGGAAAGTACATTATGTCTTCCACAGTACAATGCATGCGTGTGTTTATAAATGTGAAATATATGCAAGATGCACGAAAATTTTACTTAGAATTCAACAAAAAATTTATCTTCTGGCTGATTTTTATGTATTTATAGGGCCTTAACTGCTTGATAAGTCACGAAGTATGTCTGAACCGGCAGGATTTACAGATTTTGTTGGATGGACGGCGGGAGACATTGAACCTGCGGGGCTTTCAGCAAGTAAGAAAAATGCCGTTCTTTCACTGCAAATTAAAATGAAAATTGTTTATGTATAGGTTCCGAAAAGAAAAAAATGACTTAATGTGTTCTTTTGTTCGATAAAAAATAATATAATTGTCTGGCAATTGAGAAGCCGAGTTTCATTTCTTCAATTTTTTTTATCATTTCCTTATCTATTACCCTCCAGTATTCGTCACATTGTGTTTTGTCTTTGTAAAAAGCATACATCACTTGTTGGCTCGGTCCATTTGTTCCCCGAGAACTTCTGTAATAGTGAACGACGTCTAAAACCAAAGTTGTGTAACATTCGCTCACCAGAGTTCCCTCGGGGTGTTCATTTTGCTGACTGGACTATTATTTCCAACAGACAGATACAAATAATTCACCACAAGCCATTTCAGCCAACTCACTTTGTCTTTACAGACATAAAAACGTTAATTCGCCTCACTTAAACTGATAGGCAAACCTGAAAATGATCACATTTTTAAACAAGAGAGATTTATGTACAATTAATTTACACTATATATTATAAATATAAATTATATATTTTGTGATATTAAATGATTAAGAATTGATCAATTTCATTTGCTTATTTGCGTCTTTTTTTTTACGAAAGGGCAGGGCTTTAACAATGTTATGTATTTGAAAGAATGGTGTTATCTATGTGAATGTGTTTATGTGTTTGGCTTAAAACTTATGCTTGCTTCTGTTTTTTGTAAAAAAAAAGAAAGAAAAAAGTATATTACCTTCTAAGCACTTAATATTTTTTGGCTTATTGTCTGTTGTATTTGTCTTAAACTGATCCTGCTCTGAAAGAGTTAAGTCACGGCTTAACACCAGTAGAAACAGAATTCCCCCAGATCGCAATGTTCTCGTTTGTTGATACTGTTTTTATTACCATTTCAAATAATTGATCAGTAGATTAAAATATTTCAGGAAAAGATTAAACAAGCATTTTAACATTAACATTGATTGCGATAATTTGAAATATTCGATGTCAGGTTTCACAAACTGGAACTTAAGTTTATTTTTGTTTATTTGTTGCAATATATAATCATACTTTACTGATATAAATGAAACTTTAGATATATTTCACTTTGTTTGCTAATGAGATATATATTTCCCACGAACAGACAGCCCACATCTCATCCCGTTAGACTCCCGGCTCCTCATTAAAAGACCGTTGCTTTACAATTGCCTGTAAACAAACGAAACGATCTTCTAAACCCGGCTTTATTCAATGTTATATAAACCTTTAAATATCATACTTAGATATCTCATTTGACTCTCGTTTATTATAATTCTTAATAGAAACTAGGCTCTTAATCGAATAAAACTGACTGATGGCTCAATTTTTCAGTCCTCGAAGAGCAACTAGCAAGCAGAAATAAAACGACTCAGGCTAAAGTACTCACACCACACTAACTGGATTCTTATTCTTTGAAGCAGACCACTGTTTGTCAATCGTAAAAGTTCTTTATTTGTCATATTTTTGTAGGCTTTGTTCGAGTTGGTTTCACTTTTATCTCCTTGCTTACTATAGGAGCGTTTGTTTCTTTTATATTTCGCGCAAAGCTATACGAGGACTATCTGTGCTAACAGTCCCTAATTTAGTATTGAAAGACTAGAGAGAAAGCAGCTATTCATCACCACCAACCGCCAACTCTTGGGTTACTCTTTTACCAACAAATAGTGGGATTGACCATCACATTATAACGCCTCCACGGCTGAAAGGGCGAGCATGTTTGGTGGGACGGGGATTCGAACCCGCTGCCCTGAGATTACGAATCAAGCGCCCTAACCATCTGGCCATGCCGGGCCTATAGGAGTGTAACCCACGCCATTTCTATTTCCAAGAACAGTGTGGGTATACTTTGATAACGGTGTTTTGGTTGTTGTTGTTTTTTTACGATGAATCCAATGATTATGTGGTTTGCAAAGCCTTTTTCAATAAAATATTATGAAGAATGGTATTCCGTCAAGTTTCCCATTGTTCTTCTGGTTACTGAGAACAGAAAATTCTAGGTCGCGAAAGGGCTAATTTGAAAGCTTACTGCATCAGTCATATGAACAAATAGATCCTTATTTTGGTTTTTCAGTAGTTATCGTATTCTGCATCAGTCATATGAACAAGTACATCCTTATTTTGGTTTTTCAGTAGTTATCGTATTCTGCATCAGTCATATGAACAAGTACATCCTTATTTTGGTTTATCAGTAGTTATCGTATTCTGCATCAGTCATATGAACAAGTACATCCTTATTTTAGTTTATAAGTAGTTATCGTATTCTGCATCAGTCATATGAACAAATAGATTCTTATTTTGGTTTAGCAGTAGTTATCGTATTCTGCATCAGTCATATGAACAAATAGATCCTTATTTTGGTTTAGCAGTAGTTATCGTATTCTGCATCAGTCATATGAACAAATATATCCTTATTTTGGTTGATCAGTAGTTATCGTATTCTGCATCAGTCATATGAACAAATATATCCTT